CTAAAAATATATGTTCGGTCAAATTACAGCGATCACTTTACGGATTAAAACAGTCTGGACGCATGTGGTATAATCGCTTGAGTGAATACTTGTTGAGTAAAGGATACATCAACAATGTGATATGCCCTTGCATATTTATTAAGAAATCATCGTCAGGATTTGTGATCATTGCTGTATATGTTGATGACCTGAACATAATCGGAACTCAAAAGGAGATTGATGATGCATGAACTCACATGAAAGAAGAGTTCGAAATGAAAGATCTTGGAAAGACAAAATTTTGTCTAGGGCTCCAGATTGAGCATTTCCAAGATGGGATATTTGTGCATCAATCAAATTACACCAAAAGGGTGTTAAAACGCTTTAAAATGGATAAAGCAACTTCTTTGAATACTCCAATGGTCAATAGATCACTTGATATTAACAATGATCCATTTCGACCTTGTGAAGATAGCGAAAACATATTAGGTCCTGAAGTACCTTATATGAGTGCTATCGGTGGGCTTATGTATCTTGCAAATTGTACTCGACCAGATATAGCTTTTGCTACTAATCTACTTGCAAGATACATCTCATCTCCTACGCGCAGACATTGGAATGGGATAAATCATATTTTTTGTTATCTCCAAGGTACGATTGATCTGGGTTTATTTTATCATAGAAACCCCGAAGTTGGTCTAGTTGGTTTTGCAGATGCAGGATATTTATCAGATCCGCATAAATCTCGATCGCAAACTGGATATGTTTTCACAATTGGTGGAACGGCGGTCTCGTGGCGTTCTCAAAAACAGACTTTGGTCGCCACTTCTTCAAATTATGCGGAAATCATTGCTCTTCATGAAGCATGTAGAGAATGTGTTTGGCTCAGATCTATGCCTCATCATATACAAGAAGCAATCGGAATAATCATCAACAAAGAGCCGACAAAATTGTTCGAAGATAATGTTGCATGTGTCGCTCAACTAAAAAAAGGCTATATCAAGAGTGATAGAACGAAACACATTCCTCCAAGATTTTTTTCTTATACTCAAGACCTCGAGAAGAATCAAGAAGTCGATATCCAGTATGTACGTTCAAGTGAAAATGCGGCGGACCTCTTTACAAAGGCGCTTCCTACTACAGTATTCAGAAAGCATATTCAAAGTATCAGAATGCGTCATTTACGAGATTTATGAAGAAAACATTATATCCGTCATTCCAGAGGGAGATTGCGTTACTGTACTCTTTTTCCCTTATTATGATTTTTATCCCATTGGGTTTTTCCATGGTAAGGTTTTTAACGAAGCAGTACGTAATATATTATTAATGATAGATAATTAAGAGGGAGTGTTTAAGAGTGGATAATTATCCACATATTCACCGCCAATGTTTTACCGACTTAGTAAATATTTTATACTTTTCTTTTGTCTATAAATAGACATCATGTTATGTAAAAGTGAATTGACTTAAGTGAATACAACTCTCTCTTCTTCTTACGTCTTCCCTTCTTCTCTCTTCTTTCTCCACCTAAAGAATACTCCTTCCGTATTTTTTTAAATGTTGTTTGGAGTTATGCACACAGATTAAGAAAATATTAATTATATTAGTTTTTCAATATAAAAACATTATTAATTATTTATTTAAACACAATTCAACCAATAATAAAACAAATTATATAATAAAAATAATTATAAAAAATAAAAAACTAATAAATGTTGTATTGAAAACTGAAAACGACAACTAATTTAAAACAAACAGAATTTTCTAAAACGACAATTAATAAAAAACGGAGGGAGTATTATAATATATATATATATATAAACACATATATATATCCTCACATATTATATATATATATAATACATAAAAAGTAAAAGGCAATTTGTTTTGATGTCGTAAGGCGATTTGCATACTCGTTCCTTTGCAAATTTTCAGGCATTTTATGTATATTAAGGCCCTATTCGTTTTTTTTATCTAGATGCTGCATCTAGATTTTGCATTTAGATATTTTTTATATTTTTTGTGGGAAAACATGATTTTTTATACTTGACGTGAAAATTTTTTACTGAAATTTTGAGTTTTTGACGGAAAATAAATATATTGTGTTTTTGGCAGGAAATCGAGATTTTACGTTTTCGGCGAGAAACCAATAGTTTTCGTTTTTAATGGAAAATCGAGATTTTACGTTTTTGGCGAGAAATCAAGATTTTGCGTTTCGGCGAGAAACCGAGATTATTTCTTTTTTAGCGAGAAATCGAGATTTCGCGTTTTTGGCGAGAAATCGAGATTTTGCGTTTTCGACGGAAAAGCGAGAATTTTTTGTTTTTGGCGGAAAATCAAGATTTTGCGTTTTTGGTGAGAAACCGAGAGTTTTAGTTTTTGGCGGGAAATCGAGATTTTGTATTTTTGGCGAGAAACCTAGATTTTTCATTTTTGATGGGAAATCGAAATTTTGTGTTTTTGGCGGAAAATCGAGATTTGCGTTTTTGCGGGAAAGCGAGAATTTTTTCGTTTTGGCGGAAAATCAAGATTTTTGCGTTTTTGGCGAGAAATCGAGATTTTGCGTTTTATCGAGAAACCAAGAGTTTTTCTTTTTTGGTGAAAAATTGAGATTTTGCGTTTTTGGCGAGTAACATAAATTTTTCGTTTTTGGCGGAAAACCTAGATTTTTCTTTTTTGGCGAGAAATCGAGATTTTGCGTTTTTTGCGAGAAATCAAGAGTTTTCGTTTTTGGCGAGAAATCGAGATTTTTCGTTTTTGACGAGAAACCGAGATTTTGCGTTTTTGGCGAGAACCGAGAGTTTTCGCTTTTAGCGGAAAATCGAGATTTTGTTTATTGGCGAAAAGCCTAGTTTTTTGGTGAAAAAACGTAGATTTTTCGTTTTTGGCGGAAAATCGAAATTTTGCGTTTTTGGCGAAAAATCGAGGTTTTTGCGTTTTCGTCGAGAAACCGAGATTTTTCTTTTTTTGGAGAGAAATCGAGATTTTGCGTTTTTGGCGAGAAACAGACATTTTTTTGTTTTTGGCGGAAAATCGAGATTTTTTGTTTTTGGCAAAAAATCGAGATTTTACGTTTTTGGCAAGAAACCGAGAGTTTTCGTTTTTGGCGAGAAATCGAGATTTTGCGTTTTTGACGAAAAACCGAGATTTTTCGTCTTTGGCGGGAAACAGAGAGTTTTTGTTTTTGACAAAAAACCAAAAATTACGTTTGGGTGGGAAATCAAGATTTTTTGTTTTTTACATGAACCAGATGCAAACGCTGCATCTGAACTCTCTATTTCTCAGCATCTATAATATCCAGATTTTTGAGATGCTAATCAATTTGCATCCAGATGCTGCATCTGAACACAAATTTTTTTTGAAAAAACGAACAACATTTGGATATTTGCAGCTAGATGCAGCATCCAGATACAGAAACGAACAGGATCTAAATGTTTTTTACGTATATTAAATAGGGAGATTTGGTTGATTCTAAAAAAATTATATATTTTGAAACTTAACCCATGTTTTAAAAACTTTGAAAACTAACTTCTTTACTAGGTAAAAAATAACACAAAATTTTGATAATTTATAAGTAAACAATATTTATTTATTTAATTTAAATATGTCATCATGTTAAAAAAATGATCTTCACCCAGAGCCATGCCTGAGCACAGACTAATGAAGCATGTGCTTCAGGGCCGGAAGACTTAAATATTTTTTTGGGCCAATTTTTTAGAGTTTAAGTTAGTTCAAGTGGTTTGTGAATAGGTGAAAGCATGTTTGGTTAGAGGTTTGTCCGAGTTCAATTCTTTCCAAATGCATATCTGTCATTTTTTCTTCTTTTTGTCAATTATTTATGGGCTAAGCTGTATTAAGAAAAATTTTAAGGGGCTAATTTTTTTTTCTCACTTGTAGTTAGAGAAATCTCAAGCACGGCTCTGTCTTTATTTTATCAAATGTGAAATAAGCTTTTGGAAATCGATGCATAATATAAAGAAGTAGATGAGTGTATATATGATCTCAAAATCCCTTGAGCGAAGGAAACTATGGTCGTTGATATTGACAGATCCAATCAATGCTGCATGGTCATCAACTATCATGATTTTACTGTGATCATACAAATGCATAGACAGAAAGATATATATATATATATATATATAACATTCACCGTCGTCGAAAAAAATTATGATCATTAGCCTTTAAGCCAATAGTAAGACAATAGTATTGTAAAGATTATTCAGCATTGATGTATTCAGACTTATTCTTGTACATATATGTCCTCTGTATATATGGTTCGATTGCATTATGACTAATGACGCACCGCTCTTGTCAATACCTCCCGGCAACGCATATCATTCAGTTAAAACAAATGTATATCATGACCAAGGGAAATTTCTTTTAAAAGAAAATACAATTTGAACATGGCCTCGCAAAATTTGAGATAGCGCTGCTACGATTCATAAAAATATGAGTCTAGTCTGAGAAGATCGTCACTGGTTAGTTTTAGTCAATATCAGTTGATGTGTTAGTATATTTTGGATTAGGTTATGATAAATTGATAAATATCATAAATAGGTCTTTAAGCTGACCGAGCCTGAATGGGTAATCGTAACGTTTAGAAACAGAATATTTTATATTGTGATTTTGTGTCAACAGAAAAAATAGATGTACGTACGTTGTGTACTTGGATTTAACTATATCTTAGCCGGACTTACTTCTATTAGAATTAGTCAAATCTGTCTCTTTTCTCTTCAGGCGTCAGTCAAATCTTTCCTTTATTAATCCATATTATGATCATTATATATAGTAATTATGAAAAGGAGAAAGAACTATGATCAGTCACTGTAATTGAGTCTTACTTCTACAGTCAAATCTAATCGTTAACCCCCAAAAATAAAAAGAGATATTATTGCCACAAATCTCTCTATATAATTACTGTATCCTGCATTATACCCACAGTATTTATATAAACACCTTAGGTTTTTCTATAACCAAACCTAACGTTCACAAAAAAAAAAAAAAGATAAAAGAGATTAGTCATGGCCTCGACATGCCTAGGTGACTGTCTAAACATCAAAAGTGACGTGGATTGTGTTCGACCGGGAACAACTTACGCCAAGCTTTACAAGTGGCCGGTGGCCGAGGCGGAGTTCTTACGGTCAATCAGCCACGGCGGTAGCCAGCGTCGTGCCTCGGTGGTGGACAGCATATCTTGTAGGCAAATGTATCTTAGAAGCTATACCTTCTCAAGAAATGAAGAGAATGAAGATGGAAGAGAAGATCAAGATCAAGATGGCGATGACGCTAGTAACGGAAGAAACGAACGGAGACGTTTTGAAGGAGGAGAAAGGAAGAAGGCGGCGAAGAAGAAGAGCATAAGGACTAGTAAAACGATGCTGCATAGGGCGTTTATGGGCAAACTCGTATTGAAATGTTTGTCTTGTGCTTTCTCATATTAAGGTTAATGTTACAGAGTGAAGTAAGTTTATCAATACGTAGAGACAAGAATAATTATTATTATTTATTTAGTTTACGAAAGTTTATCGTTGAAAAGATTTCAATGTAAACGGATATTACTCTCATTATTCTTTGTTATACAAACTGCATCATCAAATATTGTTTCGGTAGCGACTACTTCTTTTGTCTCCGCAAATTATTTCAGTCCACAACAGTATAAGAATCTGATATATTTTTAACGGAAATTTATGTATACTAAGTGATTATTAGCTTAGAGAATGAATAAAACACAATGACGCTGAGATGAAGAAACTTTGACATAAATTTCATAAATTTTCTCCGAAGTCTAATTTCCACATATTGTACATAGATGAATCAGTAGTGAAAGTCAACGAGAGAGTTAATTTGAGTCAGAAGAGATAATTGAATTCAGAATGCATGAGGGATAGGAGGAGAGGTTTTAGGGATTTTAAAGACATTCTCCATTGTGAGTATTGCTAAATTTGTTTTTCCAAATAAATTAGAAAAATTATAGAGTTGACAAGTATACATAACATGATGCGTTAAGTTGAGAAAACTTCTCATTTGTTCTCTGACTTGGTGTTTTCTATATATCAAATGATAAGGATAAAATTACTTAAAAATAGTTTATATTTAAGCTAAACCCAACGTTCACAACCAAAAATAAAAGGAATACAGTTCACACTAGAAGTTAGAAGTATCCTAACAAAAAATCAAAGCTTCAATGGCCTTCAAATGCATAGATGATTGTGTAAACATCAAAAGCGACGCCGTTTGCGTTCGGACGGTGACCACTTACGCCAACCTCCACAAGTGGCCGATGGCAGAGGCGGAGTTTGTACGGTCAATCAGCGACGGCGGTAGCAAGCGTCGTACCACGGTGGTGGACAGCATATCTTGTAGGCAAATGTACCTTAGAAGCTACACTTTCACAACAAAAGAGAGTGAATACGACGGCAGTGGAGGTGGCGGCGGCGGCCGAGAATCCGGTGACCAGAGAAATGGAGGAGGGAGAAAGAAGGCGGCGAGGAGGAAGAGCAAAACGTCATCGTGTAGGAGGTTTGCTTTCAGGCTCGTATGGAAATGTTTCTCTTGTGCTTCTTCTACTAAGGTTAATATTGATCCGTGAAGCAAACTTGTCATTAGAGAGAATCGTAAAACAAAAATATATTTTGGAGACTTATCATTTGATGGGTCTTGTTAAAAATGAAATCTTGATGTTTGATCCACTCTAGACTATAGGATTTGTTCTACTTTAATTTCTTTAGGAATGTTAGCTTATCTAATAAAAGTTCCTCTTTATGGATTTGTATCAGCCTCCTGTAACATGTTTTTTACTTCCGTTTGGGTTAATTTCTCTAATCTAATACAAAGATTTGAAAAGATAATTTACCTGAAGTGGAGAAGAAACCGTGGTTAGACGTGGTCGTGATGAAAGAAAGAAACAACCCAATGGAACCGGACAAATACTGTTCGAAGACAAAATCCGAAAATGATTAAATATAATAAACCGTTTCTCAAACCAAACAAGAACATGAGAACTATGTAATACGTTTTTAACTTCTAAACTTACAAAATAATTGAAACACCAAGAGTGTTAAAACATCCGTAGACAAAAAGAACAAACAAATATCAGACAACTTCAATCTGCAAGAAAATACAAACTCAATAGGTAGGTGAAAGAGAGAAAGAGAAGAGGAAACTTTTCAGGTATTTGTATCATTACACAGATGAAAAATCGGTAGAAGAACAGCTCGAGCAGACAAAAAAACCTGATACTTTTGTTTCCTCTTGCTTCTGTTTCTGTTAGAAGAATCAGATCTTTGGCTTTTCTTGGCACTTCATTGCTCAAATCTCTCCACTATCTTCCCTCGGATTTCACCAGCTGCGAGAATACTCTACTCATGGAAACACCAGAGAGATCATTAATGCTCGATTCCTCGAATTGCCCCGCGTTTCCAGGAACGTTAACACTCGTGTCTCCCTGACTGAAATTGTTGATCTGTGGAGGTAACTCACCAATCATATTCGTGCTATTATCTTCTGGTTCACCATCGATCACAGCTTCTTGTAGCTGCAGAGCGTATTCAAGATTCCACAACACATCTCCCATAGATGGCCTATCGACTCCATAATCAGCCAAACATTTCTCACCTGTTTCCGCAAACTTCCTCAACGAATCAGGCCTGATGTTTCCTCGAAGCGACTGATCAATGATCTGATCTAATTGCCCTTTCTTCTGCCATTTCATTGCCCATTCCGCAAGATTCACCATCTCTCTCGGTAGCGTAGGGTCAATAACAGGTCTAGCACAGAGAACCTCGAAGAGAACGACTCCAAAGGAGTAAACATCGGATTTCTCAGTGAGCTGTTGCCTTCTGAAGTACTCAGGGTCAAGATACCCGAAACTTCCTTTCACAGCAGTACTCACATGAGTCTGATCAAGCTCTGGTCCGGTCTTAGACAGTCCAAAGTCTGCAACTTTAGCCATGAAGTTCTCATCAAGCAATATATTTGCGGATTTCACGTCTCTGTGGATTACTGGTTTCGAGTCACCAGTGTGAAGGTAATGCAACCCTCTAGCCGCACCAATGCAGATCTCAAGCCGTTGTTTCCAAGTCAAGCTAGGAAGACCTGAGCCGTAAAGATGACTCTTTACCGTTCCATTCTCCATATACTCGTAAATCAGTATCATCTCATTGTTCTCATCACAGTAACCGATCAGAGAAACCAAATGTCGGTGACGAAACTGAGACAACATCTCGATCTCTGTCCTGAACTCAGCAAGCCCTTGTTGAGACTTCGGGTTCCCTCTTTTGACAGCTACTTTCGTGCCATCGTTAAGCTCTCCTTTGTAGACTTTACCAAAACCGCCCACACCGATGTTACGGCTCTCGTCGAAGTTGTTCGTAGCTTCTTTAACCGCTGCAAAGGGAATACGGTAATTAGCATTGGTGGTTATACTAGTAAGCGTCATGCCACTTGCCACCGAAGTTCCAGTGATTGAAAACGGCATCCAAGTCTTTGAATGTCCGTCTTGGCTTCGTTTCCGCTTCTTACACAACACAAAGCAACTTCCCAAGAGGACTAAAGCAAGCAACGGACCAATGGTTGCACCTACAATCAACCCAACATTCTTCTGCTTAGTGCTCGAGCTACCACCAGGCACAAACGTCCCAGTACTTAGCTGCCCCTGAGAGTTATTCATCTTCATGATCTCCAATCCATTCACAATCGCGTTCGGATAATCAGTGTGAACAGTCGATGGACCGATGCTGACACGGATTTTATTAGTACCTTTCGGTGACTGCGTAACGAAGTCCATGTTGTATGCACCAGCGAGAGTGTTATCCACGTAAGTGCTGAGATCAACATCCATAACAGTGAGCATTGAGTCTACATAGAGATTGAAGTATAGCTGGTTGAGAGACAAGCTCACGATATCGCAGAAATGGAACCGGAGAAAGTACTGAAAACCCGGGTCAACCTCGAACTCCCACGTGACATTGAAGTTGCTAGTCGGATTCTCCGCGGAGTTCATCTCAGTGCAAGTACCGTAGACGGTTCTTGGCGCAGTATCCTCTGTTGCGTAGCCAGAAACATAGTTAACAGTTGCAATCTTAGACACTGTGGTAGCTAGATTCTTCTCGAGTAGAAAACCAGAGTCAGGCTGCCAAGTTCTTGTGAGAGTATCGTTGTTAGGCGCAACGAGAGGACCTCCCATGTTCACTCTATGAACTGTTTCGAGAGCTTGCATTGACAAGCTTTGCTGAAACGATCCTGAGCCTCCTGCAAATCTTGGAGCAGGAGAAGCAGTGATCAATGAGTCGGGAACGGAGATAACCTCAATGGCGTTCACAAACGCAAACGAATCACCAGAGGGAGTGAAAGTAAGAACGAGATCATCAGTGGCAATATTCAAAGAGTACTCTTTTACAACTCTCGAGCTCTTAACGGTGAAATCGCTCAAGAGCACATGACTCTGCGAGGAGACTGCGAATTTGGCTGAACCCATTTGGAAAGTTTGGTAATTGAATGGATTGAAATGGAGACGGATCCAGTGACGGCCACGAGCGACGGAGAATTTGTAGGAAGAGACTCCGGTGAAGACTCTCGCCGTCTGGTAAATGTCGGAACCGGTTTGACTCGCGAGGATCTCTTTAGGAGAGGTGAGTAAGTTGGAGGCGAGCTTATCGGACATGAAGACTCGACCCATAAGGGTCGAATTGGTGGGTGAGCCACAGTTGATTAAGTAATTATCCTGAGGTGTGAATCCATGGCAGATGCAAATCAAGCACGAGATCGTTGAAACCCAGATGAAAAATCCGAACTTTTCCACAACCATCTTGACCCAACAGAAAAAAACCTGGAAATTTGAAACAGATCGGAAGAAAGAATCAATCATATAGATTGGAAGAAGTGAGAGAGACTAGGGTTTCTCATATGAACTACAAACACAGCAGAGATCAAGCAAAGATGATAACTTTTAAGTAGAAGACAATAAAAATCACCTTTAAGTCAAGAGATTCAGGAGAAGTAACGGTCCCATGAAGGATCAGAGCTTAATGAATAGATCAAGAAACCGAAAACTCAGATTTTGAGTTTTGGGTTTTTAATAAAATATAATGAGAAACTGTACTCGTTAGAGAGATTGGGTTCCAGCAAAGAACAGACTGGTAACAGGAGGTTTTTGATTCTTTGTGAACTCTGTAAAAACATGAACTCAAGAGTATGTTTTTATTTCTTGAGTTAGGAGAGAAAGAGAAACAAGATGGAAGGAAAAAAATTATCAATCACGGCTACAGAGAATAATAAATTGAATTATCTCTTGAATGAGTTTTTTTAATGGCTAAAAAGGAAGAGAAATATGGAATTTCAAGAAAATGATTAGAAAACGTAAAATATTCGTCGCAACAAATATATGTCTACGAAAATAAAAGCTGTCCTTTTTTTTTGGTCAACAAAAAAAAGCTGTCTTTTTTATCATCGATAAAATTGTTTTAAATACACAGAAAATGTGGCCTAAAAAAATACACAGAAAAATATTTTAATATTTGGTTTAAAATGTTACGAATTTGTGTTTTTCATTTTTGTTTCAGGTGTCTATTGGTGGTGGTTTGCAGCAAAGTCAACTTTTCTGGGGAGTTTCTTGTAAATGTTTGAAATGTTATTTTAAATTTCCGACAATACTGATGAAGAAATCACTTGAATTCATGAAAGCTCTTTTCGGGCTGCGTTCACTTTTTAAATAGTAAATTAAATTCTCGTAGATCTACATATATTTTCCTTTATTGATTTCTTGTTCTGCTGGAATGTTGTTTCTTCTGAAAACAATTAAAAATCTTACTATGACCATGTGGTTTTTGACCCCAAAACAAAAAAAACCAAGTGGTTCTAATTACGTCTATAATCCTACTAAATATTTGATCTATCTATAGACTTCTCCAGTTCTATGTTTCAAACATTCCCCGAAATATAGAAGATTAGAGATATTTGTGTATTCATGGATATCTTTTCGGGCTTGCAACTTGCAAGATTTAAGAGAATGACAACATTAAGTTTAACCACTCCATTATACAACCATATGGAACATGACACATATATAATTATTAGTTGGAAATAATACGATCCCACTAATGCTCCTTGTGACATTATTCTTAAATATTTAAATATTACCTAACAAGACTCCGCAATTATATAGCCAAAAAAAAAAAAACAAGACACCACAACTAATATAATATTAATACTGTTCTAATGGCTGGCAAAAAATTGATTGATGTAATAGTGAAGTTTGGGAATGATATATTAATATGAATTATGAACGATTTGTAGGATTAAATAACGAAGATAGGTGGAAGCCCCTAGCATAATTGTTAGCCCACGTCTATGTAGAGAGCTTTTTATCATAGTCTTCTTCACATCTAAAAGCTGAAAGCTAATTGCAGAAGTTTCTGCTTTATACTTATAGGTTGGGGTATTTCCTGTTGTCAAAAAAATGGTGGGGTTTTTCTTTTTGTCGGTAGCTTGGATCTGATTTGATTAGGTTCTAAAAGGTTAGATAAATAGCAGAATAATAGAATATTAGAAAATTATTAATCAGATAATTTGAACTAAATAAAATTTAACCTGAATATTTTTAAAATGCTGAAAAATTATTTCTAGTATATTAATTATGTTTAATTATTCTAATTCTAATTTTAATATGTCAATGTTTAAACATGGCTACCAAGAAAGACTTTTTTATTTAACGTCGAAAAAATCTCTTAGACGCTAGGTGGAAGGTACCCACCACGACTTGGTTTTAGGTAGAGGTTCTATACATTTTTTCGATTTGTCGTCGTCTAGCTCCGATTTAAAAAAATCATGATACATTTAAAAAGATTGCCAATCAAGAAATTTTTTAATTATTTAAAAAAACAGTCTATAATATTAAATGCCTTTCAAATTTTTAATGAATTCTAAAAACAAAAACCAATAAAGTAATTAAAAGTTAAAAATAATAAAAATTAATCAAAAAACTAACTGCATCAACTTTTGGTGTTAGAAGTCGTCCGTCCGGCTATCCTCTAACGGTTATTTGACTACAGATTGTATGTAGTAGAATTACCTTTTTAAATTGAATGGTAAAAAGTTGAGATTTTGAATTTTATTTTTAGCATCAACTTGTTTTGTTTTGATTTATTGGTAATAGTTGTTTGATTATTAATCAACTTAACGTTGAAATTATATTAATCAAATGAGAAAAATACCAAAAAATACCTCACTTATTTTTTTTTTGGAAGATTCACCCACGAACTTTTTGCGTTGCTATAAAAACCCACAAACTAATTTTTTGAGACGAAAAAAAACCAACAGTTTTAAAAGTACCGTTTTCCCACCTCTCATTTAACTGTTGTTAACTGGGTTAACAGATCTGCTAAACATCGTTAACATTCCGTAACACGTGTTAAATTGTGTTTTATTAGTTCCACTGTTACCCCTTAAGAAAACCCCCAAATCGATTGTGAAAAAAAAACCTAGAACCCTAATTTTCGAAATGCCATTCACAAAGAGAGAAAACTTTGTTGGAAGCTTAAATTGAAGGAGAAACAGTGCGTATAGAGTGTATAGAAGACTGAGAAGAGCAATCGTGAAGATGAGGTATGTCTTATGAAACACGATTTTGATTTGGGGTTTTCGATTTGGGGTTTTTCGAAATGGGTTTTTGATTTGGGGTTTCGATATGGCTTAGGGTTTATTCGACTCGGAAAATCGATGGTAACTTGATTTCTTCTTAACGCAGTGACCATTTCCAAGTCGATATACACTATGGAGGAGAGGTTTCGATGAAGGACAATATTTTCAGATACAGTGGAGGTTTAGTGGAGGAATGCATTGTATTGGATCCAGATTACGTGACGTGGTCCATATTTGATGAATTCTGCGAAGAAAAAGGAGTACCTGGGTTAGTCGAACAAGTTTGGTACAAGCTGAAACACGAGGATGTAGCAAGAATCTGCGAAAAAAAAGATGCTGAGATTATGAAGATGTGCAGCGAAGCTATGACAACAGGTAAAATTGATGTCTACCTTGTTCAAGCAAAACCCGATGAAGCTCAACAAGAAGAATCTGATAGTGATGATTCTGATAATGGTGAACAGCAGGAGGAAAATGTTGTTGAGGATCAGGGTGAAGATCCATTAGAAGAAGAGGTTGGTATTGGTGATAGTAGATTCGAGTCTTTTTTTGAGGAAGTGCGCAATGAAGATACTGGGAATGGGAATGATATTGAGGCTGAAGCTTGTTCTGGGAATAACAATGATGGTGGTGCTCGTTCTGGGAATGGTTTTGATGATGATGCTCGTTCTGAGAATGGTAATGATGATGTGGAAGCAGAAGCAAATGGCAATGGTAATGAGGATGAAATAGATCTCGCACTTGGCGTGAGGCTCCAAGCATGAAGATGGAGCGGTTTTTCGCAGCCGCTAATGTCTTTGATGGAAAGATTTATGTAGCAGGAGGATGCTGAGCATCCTGATCCTGCTTTGGATACCGATGATGAATGTGATGCTTTCAACCGGCAAGAGAAGCAGATAACCATAAGCAAATTTTCAAAAGATAAGCCTCCTTATCTGTGGTTGAAGCAGACATTCTACAATGGAGATGAGTTCAAGGAACAGCTACTGAGGTATGTGTTGAAAACAAACTATGATGTGATCTTGCGTAAATGGGAGAAGAATAAACTTGCAGCTGTTTGTCGACATGAGAAATGTGGCTGGAGGATTTATTGCTCTTACGAGAAGTCTATGCACAAATGGATGGTGAAAAGCTATTATGATGTCCACCATCACACAAAGAATTCGAAAGCCAGGATGCTCAAACAAGGAGTTGTTGCAGGGTTATTCAAAGAGGAAGTTAGAAGAAGACCAGGGATTAAGTGGACTGATATAAAAGATGAGATCCAGATGAGGTATAATCTTTCAGTTTCGAAGTGGATATGCCAGAAAGCTAGGAGGATCGCTTTGAATTTTGTGATAGAAACTCAGAAGGAGCAGTTTGGAAAGCTTTGGGATTATGAGGCTGAGCTGCATCGGTCTAACGAGGGAGTGAAGACAGAGATTGTAACAATTCCTCACGCTGATGGTTCTCAAAGGTTTGACAAGTTTTACATTTGTTTTGAGCCGCTAAGGAGGACATGGAAATCTTGTTGTAGGCCTATTATTGGTCTTGATGGGGCCTTCTTGAAATGGGAATTAAAAGGTGAGATTTTAGCAGCTGTAGGAAGGGATGCCGATAACCGGATTTACCCTATAGCTTGGGCAATAGTCAGGGTAGAGGATAATGTTTCATGGGGATGGTTTGTTGAGAAGTTGAAGGAAGATTTGGATTTGGGTTTAGGTAATGGCTTTACCATCATCTCATACAAGCAAAAAGGACTCATAAATGCTGTTACAGATGTGCTTCCAAACGCTGAGCACAGACATTGTGCTAGACACATCTTTGCAAATTGGAAGAAGGTGTATGGGCAATACGAGTATGAAGCGTTTTTCTGGTCTATTGCATACAGTGGGTGTTTGGAAGATCATCGTTACAACATGGAGGCTTTGAAGAAACATGATCCAATTGCATATGAAGACTTGATGAAAACCGAACCAAAGTCTTGGTGTAGAGCTTACTTTGGGAGTGATGCAGCTTGTGAGGATGTCAGCAACAACTTATCAGAAAGTTTTAATAGAACGATCAAAGACTCAAGGAAGATGCCTCTTATTAACATGCTGGAAGATATTAGGAGGCAAACAATGAAGCGTATTTCTAGGAGGATAGAGAAGACAAGCAAGTGTATCACAAAGTTTGCACCATACGCTATGGAAACTTTTGAGGCAAACCGCAAGTTGAGTAAGCTGTGTTCAGTGATTAAAAGTGGTGAGAATCTATTTGAGGTTGTTGAGGGTGTAGGTAGCTACACAGTGAACATTGCACACAGGCATTGTGCTTGTAACCAATGGAACATCACGGGAATACCATGTCCTCATGCTATTTATGTGCTGACTGAAAACAACCGTGACCCAGAAGAGTAAGTGTATTCTAAATTGTTTTAATGCCTTGTACTTCCATTGTTTTAATGCCTTTTTATGAGCTAACTCTCTTGTATTTTGTTTCAGTTACGTGGCTGAGTATTTCCTGACTAGCAAATGGCAAGCCACTTATGTTCACAACATTGCACCTGTAAATGGAGAGAGGCTGTGGGAGAGGACTGGGAAAGAACCTGTCACCATTCCAGATAAAAGAAAACCAAGAGGTCGTCCGAAGAAGTTTGCAAGGACGAAAGAGCCACATGAGTCATCGTCGAATCCCAATAAAGTCACCAGAGATGGAAGAACCGTGACTTGCTCTAATTGCCACAGGCCTGGTCATAATAAAGGAACTTGTACTTCAGGCGCTGTGGAGAAAGCTCCACCATGGAAACGTGGAAGACCACGAAAGTTTCAGGTAAGTTTCTCATTGTGCTTGTGTGTTTGATGATGTTTAGTGTCTGCTTGTTGATGATTATTGTTTGCATTGTTGATGTTTATTGTGTGCTTGTGGTGATATAATGATGATCCATGGAGCATACAAAATGCACCTAAGAGATACAAGGCAGCTCAAAGCCAATCTACACCAACAGTTGATACAAGCCAACCAACACCAACTGATGTACCTGCAACTGCTCCACCACGAGTTTCTACTGAAAGAGGTCGTGGTCGTCCCCGTGGCAGTCGTGGCAGGGGTCGTGGTAGGGGCCGTGGAACGGAAGCAGTTGCTCCAAGAGAACCAGTGTGCTTCATGTCGCCTTTTACTAACAAAGTCTTTGATCTGTGGCGACCAGGAAACCCTTAGAATCATGCTTTAGGATCTATTTTACTTGCTTTGTAATGGTTGATGAACTTATCAGGATGTATTTTGCTTCCTTGTTCTGGTTTTATTAACTTACCAGATGGATCTTTGTTTGGTTTTACAAACATATCGGTTGTATTTTGGTGAATTTTCTGTTGACTTTATGAAGGTTGAACTTCTTTCATTGTTAACAATGTTATGAATGGCTTGTTTTCCTGATTATGATTGTTATCAAACAACTTTGAGTGCTTTGTTTTACTTCCCAAATTGTGATTAAGTAATTCAAAAGGAGAATGGAAAAGATAATTTATGATAGAAGTTCTCAACAAACACCAAATGAAATGGCTATTACAATCGACTCTAAACCAAGAACCAAACATCACAAACATACTACAAACTACTTTTTGATCGCAAGAAACATTCCTACCACAATAATGAAACCATCCCATGAGATAATAATGAATTGCCGCATCATCTTCTCTCTCTCTTTTGAGACCATGATTTCATACTCAAGCTTTTTCTTCTCTTCTTCGATCCTTGAATCCGAAGTTGCAGCTGTTGTTGTCTCACTCATGGCTTGGTTGGTAAGTGCTTTCACAGATTCCTTAAGCAACTTGATTTCTTCTTTGTTATGACGAATCTCATCCCGTGCCTCTAGTAAGCTCATCTTCTGCCAGCCGTAAGGCTTTTCTTCATCAGCCCAAGCAACAAATCCATGTGCATCACATTTAAAAAATCTTCTACCTGGATTTTCATTCGTCCATGCCTTCAGCATTGTTGTCGACCTCCCACACTTACAGACAGGACCACCTCGACTCAGCTTGTTGCTCGAAACCGACCCAGAACTCTGACTTTTCTCCATTTCTTTCAAGTAGTTTAGGAAGAGAATAGAAAATTAGGGTTTGTTCTTCCCCAAATCGATTTAGTCGAATTTAAGCAGTTCTTAAAGGGTAAAAAAGGAATTCGTTACTTATAATTAAGCACGTGTTACGGAATGTTAACGATGTTTAGCAGATCTGTTAACCCAGTTAACAGAAGTTAAATGAGAGGTGGGAAAACGGCACTTTTAAAACTGTAGGTTTTTTTTCGTTTCAAAATATTAGTTTGTGGGTTTTTATAGCAACGCAAAAAGTTCGTGGGTGAATCTTCCAAAAAAAAAATAAGTGAGGTATTTTTTGGTATTTTTCCCTTAATCAAATTGTGAATGATTATAATACAAAGGAATCCAAAAGAACATTACAATAGTGAAATGCATAAAAAAAACTACACGACCATTGAAATGAATTCATCAATTTATCAAAATTCAAACATTCAGTTACAATAAATTACAACAAGAACAACCCTCTGAACTAGGAAATGTAATCGACTCAAACCCCATAAATTCCCAAAAATCACGCGCTCGAGAACTCTATACGGCTCTATTAATCAACGTCAAAAAAGTCAAAATCCTTAAATTCTGATAGGTTGAGAATGCCGATGAGAAGGAAGCCGAGAAGCAAGGGTAAGAAGGCTCGTGTGTGGGAGAAGAAGCAACAGAAAAGTGGCTAAAGAGAAAAGAGTTCGAGTCTGAAGAAAACCTCTAGCTGAGAAAGAGTGTTCGACTTATAATTAAATAATCTTAAATGATGTCCTTTTATCTTAGGTTAATAGATTCCCTAATATTTAGGGTTTTCTTATCTTAATGAATCGTATTATCCCTTATCTTAATCTCTATCGTCTTCCTTCTTCACTCTGCTTCACTCTTTCGTACTCGTCTCTGCTTCTCCTCTTCACAATTCACCATTTCAATTCGTCTCGCCAATGTCGTCCTCGGAGATAATTACGAAACCTTCGCTTAAGCCACCGTTGGAATCGACACCGATTCTCTCACTTCCCGATGATTTACTGGTGAGTTGCCTCGCACGCGTTCCCGTAATGTATCACCTGACTAGTACCTCCTTAGTTTGCAAGAGGTTTCAATCTCTCCTTACTTCACCGGAGCTTTTCGAGGCTCGATCTCTCTTAGGCCTCACTGAAACTTGTCTCTTTGTATGCTTTCGTTTCTCTCCTGACAATAAGCCTCGCTGGTTCACTCTCTTCCCGAATTCAACTGGGTATGTTTTCGCTCCGGTCCCAACTCTCAATTTTCCTCAATCTCCATGTGAAGAACAAGTGGTTGTAGTTGATTCTGCAATCTACGCCATTGGAGGACCCATCAACGATGCACCTTCCTCCACCGTCTCGGTTTTAGACCGTGGATCTCGCACTTGGCGTGAGGCTCCAAGCATGAAGATGGAGCGGTTTTTCGCAGCCGCTAATGTCTTTGATGGAAAGATTTATGTAGCAGGAGGATGCGAGAGCGAAGACTGTGATGATTCCTCGAATTGGATGGAGGTTTTTGATCCAAAAACCAAGACTTGGGAGTTTGTGTCGAGTCCTTTAGCTGATAGATGTGGGATTAGGATTCGCAAAAGCGTTGTGATTGATGGAGAAATCATCATGTTTGGGTATAAAGGTGTGACATTTAAGCCTAAGGAAGATAAATGGGAAGAGATGGGATCAACTCATTATTTGAATTTAGGAGGGATAATGATGTCTTGTTGCGTGATTGATAACGTGGTATATAGGTTTCAGAGGTCAGAGAGAATCGTATGGTATGATTCTGAGAAAAGATACTGGAAAGATGTCAAGGGTTTGGAAAGTCTCCCTAAGTTTGACATTTATGCTCTTGCTAGATTGGTGGATTTCGGTGGGAAGGTGGTGGTTTTGTGGGAAAAGCCTTTGCCTTGTAGTGGTGATAAGGTGTTGAAAGTGATTTGTTGTGCCGTGATTTCGCTTGAGAGACGTATGTCACGTATCAATGAGATTTGGGGTAATGTTGAGTGGCTTGATGGTTTGCTTACAGTTCCTGCGTCTTGTGGATTTTCTTGTGCTGTTGCTGCTGAGTTCTGACTTGAAAACGTAGTGAATCATCTTGAGTGATGCAGGTTGAAGAATTTGGTGAGTTTGCATCGGTGCTGAGAATGTAGGAGATGAAAGTATTTTGCGTGGTTTATAAAGAATTGTAACAAGATGCACAGTTTGAAGAGTATTTGGTATTGTAGTAAACAAAACTCTTTGTTTCTTATTCCCTGAAATCTGCAAAGGCTTTTGCTTGCTTCTTACAATTTAGAATATCTCTGAGTACACTTAGCCTTGAGACGTATGTATGCTCGTTGTTTTGACATTGCTTTTGGTTAATATAGTGTCTGGATGACAAACTCGGTTTTTTAAGTAATATTTTTTTGGTTTCTACCAAAGCATTATTTACCAGTGTATACATGTCTCAAGATTGGTCCAAAATAATTGGCTCTGTTTTTAGTCACTCAATGAAGAATTTGTGGGAAAATTTGAGCCTTTTTTTTATTATTATTATAACTAACTTTCGTATCATTTATAAGCCTTTTCATTTTTGTTATGTTGTTAACCAGTTTAAAATTTAATAATGCTAAGAGTGTTCTTTTTCTTTAGCCCATGTAATTTTAAATTTTGATAGTGTATCTGTTGTAAAAAGTTTTTTTTTTGGTCTAAATGTTAAGATTTATACCAATTTTCTGAATTTTACACTGTACATGCTGAAAAACTTATTACAACAAGCAAATAGAAAAGCTAAAAGGTGGGAGCAATAAAACTGAAATAAAGGGAAGATGAGTTAACGTCCGAGACAGGGAAAGAGAGAAGCCTGTCACGGATGAGCCGGTCGAGCGCGGAGGAGAAGTCAGCCGGAGAGGAGTACACCGACCTGAAGATCCGTGAGTTGCGCTCTTTCCAAATTGAATACACCAACGCCTGCAAAATGACTTTAACAAGAGTGGCGTGAGTACGGTTGTTGACGTAGAGGTGATTGGTGATCCACGAAAGCAGAGCGGAGATCCAATGGAGGGTTAACCCTGATAGGATCGACGAAGTGCTTCCAGACTGTAGCCGAGAACTGACAGTCAAAGAAGAGATGTCCATGTGATTCATTACCCCGAGAGCAGAGAACACACACAGCACTAACATTCAACCCCCATTGCCTGAGTCTATCCTTAGTCAGCAGTCTTGCAAGGAACGCCAACCAAGTAATGAAAGACCACCGAGGAACATTTTCCTTAAACCAAATAACACGATGCCAAGGAACAACTGGATAATGATGCCGAATCTGCTCCCAAGTCGCCTTAGAGGAGAACCGAGGCGCGAAGAGACCTGCAGAATTACGCTAGGGAAAGCAATCACTCCCCCGCGAGACAGTAAGATGAGAGATTGTAGAGATGGCCATCTGAAGTAAGTCAGTTTCTTCCGATCTAGCAGCCGGCAAATTCCACTCGCCATTTCTGGTGGCGTGGATAACTCGGGCTTCCAGACGAATCTGTAGCTCCCGTGGACCTCTCTCCCCGATAAAATGTATGAGGGGCCCCAGATCCGTCCAAGTATCAAAGCAAATAGATGCTGTCTCATCATCGTCTACATTACATCTCAGGAAACCCGCAAGTCTGGTCTTCAGCTGAAGCATGCTCCGAACAGCACGAGAGAAACGGCTAGAATCTTCTGTAAGCCAAAAGTTTTTACTGCCGAAGACATGCGTATTAAGCCACGCGACCCATAAAGAACCCGCATTAGAGAACATATTCCATATTTGCTTCAGTCTGAAAACCAACTCAAAGTCCTCAAGACGCCGGATATCCAATCCTTCTTCCGACTTGGGCTTACACACATCGGCCCAAGCAACTCGAGCACCGGGAGAAGAAGATGCCTTATTTTTCCACAAAAACGCAGCACACAACGAGTCAATCTTAGCATAAAAGGTCCTAGGCAAGACAAATACCGAGTTCCAGAAATTTACCATGCCTTAAATAACCAAGGAGATTAGTCTTATCTTTCCCACGAAGGAAAGAAACTTTGAAGTCCAAGAGTGAAACTTACTTGTGATCCTCTCTATGAATGGTTGGAGAGTGGCCATACTAATCCTGCGGGGATTTAGGGGAAGACCCAAATAGCGAGTGGGGAATTCACCCTGCTGAAAACCCGAAATGCCAGCCAAAACAGCTCTCTGTATATCATCATAGCCTCCAAAAAATATTTCCGATTTGCTCGCATTCATGTCAAGACCACTGATCCTCTTGAATTCACGCATGACATCCTTAAGGCCAGAAATAGAGTGCCGAGAACCATCACAGAAGACAAGGAGGTCATCAGCAAACAACAAGTGCGTGAGCCTCGGATTCGCGCATTGTGGGTGCAAACGCATCCCATCCTGATATATCCACCTTTCTGTCTAAAAGCTTTGTGAGACACTCCATCACCATAATGAATAGATAAGGCAAAATTGAGTCCCTTTGACGAAGACCCTTCATACCAGAGGAGAAACCGGCAAGCTCCCCGTTTACCGCAATAGAAAACCGAGGTGAAAAGATGCACTCCTTAACCCAGGTAATAAATATCGGAGGAAACTCTTGAGCCTGCAGAAGTTTAATCACAAAATCCCAACAAATAGTGTCAAACGCATTCCTGATGTAAAAAGTTGAATGTAAAAGAGATGAATTTTAGACGAAGTTAAGAGAAAATCACTTGTCTGCGTGTTTCTTTTATTAAAATTATGAATGAATATCACAAACCCTTAGATCTTATATTATATAAGCGTCAAAAGTTGGTTGTAGTAAGAAACCTAAAATAAATTTTCATTTTCCTAATAAGAATGTGTCATGCCTCCATATATCCTCAAACCTAATCTTAGTCCACTTATAAAGTTTTTTGGGCGTCGAGTCCAACTAATTTGTGCGGTCTACGGCGGGTCTATACTAATTTTAATAAGGATCTCTTAAAATTACTTAGTTTTTTTTTTTATCACTTTCACAACAATAGTTGATAAGATTATCCATCAAAACAATGTTTCTGATTTGTATAAGTATAATAAAGACTTTGGAGTTGTATCTTGAGTTAATTATGTTCTCATCTTTTGTAAAAGGCTAGAAGTCATTGATTATGATTATGTGATGTATTTTTTTATGAGATATTAAAGTTATATTGAGTTAAAAAAAACTATTTATTTATAAATAATCCATAAACCTAAATCCTAATCTCTAAATTCTTAATCCTAATCCTTAAACTTTAAATCCTAATTAAGATAAAAAATTAAAATCTAAACCTAATCCATAAACCCCCAAACCCCCTCCCCCCCTCCCAAAAAATATAAACATATATATTTTATAAAGAGATAATTGGAAAATTAAGACAAAAAATGGAGAACCTTGTCCCCTTAGTACTTTTTGGAAAAAATTGTCCTCTTAATACTTATGCTAATTATAATCCTCTTTTACCCCTTAAAAATGAATTATTGATATTAATTTATTGTTTTAACTATTATTAATTAAGATACTCAATTTGATTAAAAAACAAAAACAAAAACAACTTAAAAAGAAATAAAAGACCCCGACACATTCTTGTTCTCATCGTCTTCTCCATCATCGACTTCTTCTCAATATTACCCATGCAAATCAAAGCTTCTCCCTTGTATTTCTGAAAGCGCAGTAATTCCTGAAATTTTCGTTCAAGTCTGTATCCAATTATCTGCTTCTTCAATCTATTCAGCTGATTTTGGTTATTAGGGTTTGAAAACCCCAAATTATATCTGGGTAATTGCTCTATTTTTTATGCAGCCTAAAAATTACCGGCGATAAGAAGAGAGATCTCTACCAGATAAGCCTACGAAGCCACACATAGCTCCGTCTCCATAGCTCTCAGGTTTAGAGTAGTCTCCATTCGCTGTGAATCATCGGGTTTAGAGTATTGTTGCGGAAGACTACGACTTCAAAAACCCAATTCTTATTATTAAGAATCGATCTCCATATACCACAGATAACATAGATATGCACCATAATTGAATAACCAGAACAGAAACACAGAAAACTGTAATTAGGGTGGAAATCTTGTGAAAATGCCGTCAAAGAGAAGAAGAAAAGAAAAAAATTCTTCAAAAATATGTTAAAAACGTGAAAAACAGAAAAGGAAAATAAAATATTTTCAAATATTTAATTTTTGTTGGATAACACCTGATCCTAGATTTTTTCAGATTTTATTAACCGTTTAGTAGAATACGGATTCTATATTCACTAGAATGAAGACAAATAAGTAGAAGTCTAATTCTAGAAAACATAGAATACATAACGATTTCTAGAATGCATATTCTAGAATGTGTAGAATATATTACGAATTCTATATAACGTATTTCTACACGATGTTATAGAAAACAAAACCAATAGTAGAATATGTATTCTATACTCGGTGGATCTTATACCATATACTAAAAATCAAATTCTGTAAAACTCTAGAAATGTAGAAAACGTTTTCTAGAACATATTAATAAATATATTTTAAATATATATTTCCTTAAACGATATTTTAGAATAATATTCTTTCCTTTTTTGGAATTTACAAAATTTAAATATATATATAAATATTTATTTCGAAATATAAAAAATATTTAATAAGGTTATTTTTGTCCAAAATTGCCAAAACTCAAAAAAAAATACTAAGGGGACAAAGCTCTCTATTTTTTGTCCTATATTTCCAATTTTCCCTTTTATAAAAGACTTGTTTGAGTATTTTAATCTTTCAGTTTTAATTTTGTATTTCTGTTGATATTTACTAATACGCAGTATATTTTATTGGTTAAAATAAGAAAAAGTGAATAAAAGAGTTCATCTCTAAGAGTGAACCCAATAATTTTTTTCATATTTCTTTTTAATGTGAAAATCATTTTTAGTTTTGTTATTAATTTATTTTTTTACACAATTTTTTCGTTCATTTATTAACTTCATATATGTAAATTATATTTCAAATAAGTATCATTATTTTCAATGTTGAGTTCTATAATATGGTTTACACCTGGATTGAAGGTTTACATTTATTATATAACATAATCATGTAATTATATTTCAGATAAATATCATTATTTTCAGTATTGAATTCTACAATATGATTTAAGATTTCTTTGTTTGTTACACTTTAGGATTTAACTTTTGAGGTTTACATTTATCTATATAACAAAATAATATATTATGAAATGAATCATATGTTTGATAGAAACGAATAATATATTATGTATTAAAAAAGTTTCTCTTCAACCGTGTACTTTTACTATTTTATTTCGGAGGAAAACCAAAATTAAACTCGAAAGAGCTAAAAAAAAGTATGCTGATATGTCATTGATTGGATATATTTTTCTGCAAAAGAAAATGGTCTTCTACTCTTCTTAA